AAAAAAGGAAAATTATAATAAAGTAAAAAAAATACAGAATAATGCCAAACAAAAAACTATGCTCGAAAAATACGAAAATCTATACAGAAGTATAACACTATTGCAATTTTGCTGGTTGAAAAATCCTTAATGAACGATATCTATTCACACCTAGTTTTGGCTAGAGGTTTATGCTCATAGAACCATTCAGCGACAGTTTTATCTTCATCTTGGTCAAGTTCCATTTGAATCGGCTCCAAGGGTTCAACATCCAAAATATTATCAGCGTAATCCAAAGGTGGTTCTTCATCATCAAAAGGCGGGAAACGCATGCGCTAAAAAAAGTGGTTGTGCGAATTCTGAACTACTCCTATGACTGAATGTTGGAAAATACTCAAGAAAAATAAGGTGAAATAAAATCTGTCCCTTTTTCTCAAATAATCCGAAAGAATATGTGAAAGTTTACTTTGAAATGTCTTCGGTCTCTTTTTTCCCGTCTCATCATAATCCACATCGTACCCCATTGTGCCATGTATACAGGTTCAATCACACGAGGGATTTCATTCACAAATGTTATTGCACCCGTTATATGATACAATACCTGGAAACATGAGCGCAATGTAAATTAAAAGCAATAGTAAAGTTGAAGTTCCTTTTATTTAATTCAGGGTCTACTGCATCAACAAAGTAATTATGCGCATATTTTACGGAACTGCAAGTATCATGAAAAACTTCACTAATAACGAAAGGCATACGAATTTTTATTGCTTTTCATTAAAAACGAAGAAACTTTGGTATGCGATACAAATGAAGAAAAGTAAAAATTATGGCGCCCTAAAACTTTCAATTTATAGTGATGAATATGTCGATATGAATTAGTGCTAGAAAATTACTTTAACATCACGGATCTGCTCCCATGGCATAGGCATATTTTCGAGAAGTTTCAAAACTGCATGAGGCATGTATTTCAAAGCACCCAAATAAACACGCTTATCATGACGATACTTACGTGATGTCATATCACCGTGATCACGTATAATTTTCCGGACATGTTCTGAAGATTGTTTTAGACTACACAAGATAATTACGGTTTAGCACAAGCTACACATTCATTTAAGTGAAAGTAAAGTTTATACAAATCTTATGAGTACAATGATAAATATACCTGGTGGCATATCTTCTTTTTGCGAATCAACAAAACCAAATTTGCGTTTCTCTGCATAACGCTTCGACTGCAATTGCTTCCATTTTCTTGCTTTCTCTTCCAAAATATTTTCAGGAAGCATTTGCGGAGGTCCAGCATGATGGCCTCCTAACTGAGGCTGTGAAGGCGGCTGGAAAAATGTTCCAGACTGTGAAGTGACGTTGTTGAACGCCACCGATACAGATGAAGTCATTCTGAAAACGCTGAAATAAATGTCAACACATCTACTTCTGATATAACAAAAAATAAGTGATGAATCCGTACAATACAAAGTTTAATCCATGACCACATTTTTCCTTTCCATGAGCAAGAACCTTTGGCGCTAGCCTGGCATGCCTAAAAGTCTTATTACCACACGTTACTAATAAAAGCTTTGTAACTGATAAAAACTTCCAGTAATAAGAACTTATCAGAAGTAAATTTTTTCGGATTCGTATTTCAAACATGGTACTACAGAAGTCTATCTGAGTGATATAAATTTTATACAAATCCAAAGAGAAAAAATTACAAAAAAATTTTTCGACTGAAATTGAACTGAAAACTGCAATTAGTGTAGGGTTACTTCAGACTGAAAGAGTAAATAAAAAAGCATACAACTAAAAAACAATTATGCACACACTATACCTCTGAAATGACAAACAAATTCAAAATTATAAACAAAAAAGACTGACACGTTAGCCTGCAAATATCATATGGCAAACGGACAATCGCGTTACGTTAGTCCCAAGTGTAACAGCGGAAAATCCCTTTTAAGTAGTTTTTGAAAATGATTGAAATTGAATTTTAGTGATGGAATCTGTAAGTTGCTGACGAATTTTCTAAAATTTTTATTTTCTGTTTGCTGCGAGTACACTCACTTAATAATTAATTTGAATAAATTAAGGTACGGAAGGTATTTTTCAGAAAGTATTCATCGAATTACATCGAATTACAGAAAATCGAGATTACATTCATCGAATAACAAAAAATATTCAGAAAATATTCATCGAATTATTCTTGAGAAAAATTTGATGCGAATGATAGATGGCTGTTACCAGTAAGATGTTCGCACATCATCGCAAGTATCCAGTCAGCTAGTGATGACTTGCGTGTGCTAGCTATGCATTTTTCTTTTTTACTCAGTCGAAGTCAGTTTTATAAATCACCACGTGTTCTCTATCGTACGCTACTATTTTGATTGCATTTTACCACACGGACGAGGGACGACAACGGAAGGGAATTGTTCACTGCCATAACCATACATTGTCATCATTTTTCCACTGTCTTAATAATAAATGTGTCTGTGGTCGCAGCCTTACCCATGCTTTATCATTTAAATATGTCTTCGCAGTAATTTCATAATAATTGCGTCAAGAACTATAATATTGATTGTGATGATGATAATAATAAGAGTGATGGTTGTTATCATCCTTATTATAATAGTAACAATAGCAATAGCAATAATGATAGATAATTGATAGTAATATTCAATAATGGTGGTGATTATTATAATAACATAATTAACAATAATAGTGATAGTATCAATATTAATATTGGTAATAATAGTAATAAATAGTGATAATAATAATATAAATAATTAATGATATAATAAATAATGATAGTATCAATAATGTGTCAATGAATGATTATGTATGATATGTATCAGTACTAATAATAATGCTGGTAGTAAATAATTATTATTAATTCCGACTATTCGCTTATAATCATAGGTAGTACTGCTGCTAAATTTTTTAAGAGGTTATTTGTATTGAATATATTCACAAGCTATCAGTTGTCATACCCGTCTAGTCTGGAGAAATTTGCATTATCATTAGGTTCATTGACTGATCACTACAAAATTTCGGACAACTCTCAGTCAGTTGTAAAATATTCATTTCGAAAGTTGGATATCAATTCTGATTATTATTCATTACTATAAAAAATGCTACTGGTTTTTTTGTTTAAATAGTCGTGTTTAATTATCGAAAGGTATCGGTGACTGGTCTGTAAGTATTACTCAGCTTGTGTTGACATCATAAGTGATAGGTAACAAATTGGGATCATAGTTTGTACAATGCAAGGTTGCATTTTCAGACTATACTCTTGTATACTTGAGGTGGATTCATAGAACGGATTGTTGGCTAGATGATAAGTTTACTGAGATCTTTGCAAGAGATGGAATGAACAGAACTGCAGAATATGAGAGAGCATGCGATATCCTCAGGAAAAAGACAAATGGCAAACTGCTAGATTTCTGCTAAAATCGAGCACTTCGTCTCAGAACATTCTCATCACTGCTCTGCTAATCTTTACTACGCACTTTATCTACGTTCTGAATTTCAGTCGCTCACTTCATTTACTGCAAAAGTTATGGAACTTTCAATTTTTTCCATATTTATGCTTGATTTGAGCTGAGTTGAAGATGGGTAATTACAAATCACGTCCACCGTCTTGTTGTGCTGGTAAGTTCATTCTTTTTTGAAATTTTCTGTCGTTAATATAATTTTGAAAGACTGTGTGTGAAGAAGTTGCATTTTAGGAATTGTTGATGTGACTCAGGCATTCTTATGAATATAAATTATTAGTGCTGTAAGTAACTAGTTATTTTTTGTTCTTCAGATGAACTGAAGAAAAAAATTAGCGAGGGTTATGCAGTAGTGCGATCGAGACTTAATGATGACGTAAAACCACGATTTGATACTTGGAACATACTGCAAAATACTTGTTTGTAAGATTTTTCTGCATTAAAAATGAATTAACAAGTTGCATATTGATGTTTGAAGTAGCACTGATAAAATTTCGCGAGAAAGCAACTGTTTTAGCCAAGGGACGTTGAAGGCCTTAGAAGAATCTCTGAAATGCTTGGAAAATTTCAATGAACTCGCCGAAAATCATCATTTGTCGTTACTTCATCTCATTTGTGCTGGATATTCAGAGCAGGTACAGAACTTTATTTTCCAATCAAGTATGAATGACATATTTGATCGTCATTTACTTGTTATGGTGTGCTAAATCATTCTAAATCTGTTCAGCAATCGGAAAAAGTTGTATTATTGCTTGAGTCATGTGGTGAAGATGAAGAGAAAAAACAGTCGCTACTGAGACATCTTTCAAAAAATGGCTTTTCCGCTCTTCATTTCGCTATTTATAAGGTTAATTATCAGCGACTCTGTATTTATTCATTTCTTTTAAACTTTTAGTATTAAGATCACTATCAGTCGGCGATTTATCATTGTTTAATGACTTTTCCTTTGTGACATATTTTAATTACTCTAACATTACAAATCATCCAAGACAACTTATATTTAAAAAAACTGTGACGATTGTAACTACCAGAAGAAAATCGATCATTTTTTGAATTTTTCAGTTTCGTTGTAAAAATGTAGTGGTAAAGATGATTACCATTAACTCTGTTATTAAATTTTTCATGGCATGAATGTCTTCTCGAGACAACTAGATGGTTCATAATGAATTCATTTTAATTAATTTTCTGTCCTTTTCCATTTTTAATCTAATTATTCAGGATGAAATTAATACAGTAGAAAATCTACTCACAGCAGGAGCTGACGTAGATTTTGCTGGTCGTAACAAATTACCACCTTTGCATTTAGCAGTGATGTGCGGAAACATAGAATTGATTCAAAAGTTAATCGATCGGGGTGCTTCCCTGCAAGCCGTTGACTTTGTCAATTTCACGTCACTTCATTGTGCTACTTATTTTGCTCATGAAGAGGTTCAAATTCCTTTGAAATAAACTTATTTTAGAATTCAAATACACAATATTCAAATAGTATTATTTCATTTCATTATTGTGCAATAAAATTATGGGGTTTCATTATTATATCAGTTCGACTGGATAACATTTAATGTATAACAGTCTTCAGATAGTGCGCTTGTTGATTAAATGTGGAGCTGATCCGAATTCATCTGGGGGTGTAAATGATAGACCGCTTCACTTAGCGAGCAGTAAGGGGCAGATCAGTATTGTTTCCGCTCTTTTAGAAGCAGATGCTGACCGTTCGTTTTGAAGTCATTGTTATGGACACCCTTATTATTTTGCTTCAACAAAATTTAATATTGCACTAATCATATTGTTACATCAAAAAATTACTTCGAACCACCTTTAACTTCAAGTTTCCTTGCAGAAAAAATTTTTCAACTTATCAATTCATATAAGTGTAATTTCTTTGTGCTTCATAATTTTCTGCAATATAATGTGGCCAAAAATAATGTTGTACGGTTTGCAGCAACTCTAGCAGATGATGAAGGTAATACATCACTGCATTTTGCTGCAAAAACAGGCCATGTTGGAATAATTGATTTACTGCTACTTAAAATTGGTGCTAGACATCAAGAGGTATTTGCTGCCTCAGTTTAATTATTTAATTACGTTTCAAGATAAATTCATTCATTCATATGCAGATAAATTCATTCAGTCATATGCTTTCACAAAGTTAGAAGACAGTTTCCTAGAGATTGATTCTTTGTAATTTTATATACGGATTAAAAAGTATTGAATGAAATTGCTTAGCAAATGCCGCTTACAATATATTAGTGATTGCTGGTCTTACTACGTCATCTCTTGAATTTTAATAATTTATCAGAAAAATTATCAAAACCTCCATCCAGTAATTATCTCTACGACGTGACAATTTTTTCTTAAAATTAAAGAACAGTTTTATCATGACTGAGTTTTCTTATATTTCAGTTAGCTTTGAAAACAAATATATATGGCGATACACCACTTCATACAGCGTGTTATGCAGGTCGCTTAGATGCAGCTAAGCGATTGTTGACTGTTTTTGGATCAAATACTTTAAATATGGTAGTTTTTGCTAGCATTAAAAGTCTATCACATTTGAGTATTTGTGATTCATTGTGCTCAGATATAAGGCATATTTTTGATAGGAGAATGTATTTTCTGAAACACCACTGCATGCAGCGTGTACAAGTGGTAAAAACTTGGATTTAGTAGCATTTCTGCTGAAACAACCCGGTGTAGATGCAAATTTTCAAGGACAAGACGGACACACTGGTAGGTTTATTTGGAAAATAAGTTAATCAAATACAAGATAACAGAACTTAGTTTTTCGTAAACAGATAATTTAGTATTTCAAATAATCACCTAAATTTAAGCTCTTCATAGCGCCTGTTATCATGGTCATTTACGTTTTGTACAGTATCTTTTGGATAGTGGTGCTGACCAGTCTCTGATGGCTCGAGCAGTTGATCATCCACTTTCGCCTGCAAAAGCATTATATGGTGATTTTTCATTCCCATTTTATAATTTTTTGGTTTTGCATCATTGAATCTTTTTAGATTTAGTTTGACTTTTTTATTCACCTGACAAATGGATTTAAATACTGAAACTTCTCTAATTTTATCTCATGATAAATCAGAGTGTTTTTCAGTGCTACTAAATCATTATCTAGTGGTAACCAATATCTCTCATAAAAAAAAGTTCCTGTTTAAATATTGATCAAAAGTGTATAAATTATCATTCCAAAAAGTCTCGGTTTTACTTTCCTGTTTTCTTTTCTATCAAAAATTTTTAAATTAATTTTTTGAGCATTAGTTGGTTAAAAACTTTTGTTATATTTTTAACGATGTAAACTACGTGTCGATAATGAAATGCAAAATTGATCATTTAGCCAGCACATTTTCAAATAGATCATTTAGCGAACACATCATCGAATATACCTCAGACAATGCTCACCTTGTCCAAAGAAACAGCAAATTCTTTTGGTGGTTCATCTATCTCATCAGCTAGCTTCAGTGATGATCAACAGCAAACACCCATCATTTGGGCTTATGAAAAAGGTCATGATCAAATTGTTGCCTTGCTTAAGCATTATGCAAATAAACGTCCTGATTCTGATGTTTGCTCCGAATATAGGTATCTTTATATTAAAGTATTCAGATTATTAATTTTTGCATGTTTCAAATGAATCATTTTATAGGTATGCTAAGTGCTTTGAACTATGTTAATAAGATATTTTCTAGAATACTGCAATCTTCCAGTGTTTAAATCAAACCATATTATTTTGAACTTCTACAACTTTTTCGTACTATATGTTTACATAGTATAAAAATTTTAGTATTAAATTTGTTTATTATTTATGATCTAGTGATCATTGCCGATCATTTTCAGTTCTGGTGATAGCAGCTATACACCACTTCCGAGTCCTCTTGGTCGTTTAAGATCAATGACGAAGGAAAAAGCTGATATATTACAACTTCGTGCCTCTCTATGCAATCAATTTCATCTTTCTTTAACAGATGTCGACTTTCAGGTAATTTTTTTCTTTACCATCATAGGTCAGAAAACTATTTTCAAATACAATTAAAAAACTTATTCCAGGAAGCTATTGGTAGTGGTTCATTTGGGAAGGTTTATAAAGGTACATATCGTGGAAAAATAGTAGCGATTAAAAGGTACATCACTTTTTTAAGGTATTTTCTTTTTGAATTATTATGTAGAATTCAATAAAATGCATTTCAGATATCGTGCAGTAGCATTTGGTTCCAAAAGTGATGTTGATATGTTTTGTCGTGAAGTATCAATTCTTAGTAAATTACAACATCCAAATGTGATCGCTTTTGTTGGTGCTTGTTTGGATGATCCTAGTGTGGGTTTTCTTCAATTTGTTTTTAGAAATTAATGAAGCTCAAATGTTATATCTCAATTTCTGATAAGATTTGTAATTATATATTGCTCATTTTTGCAGTATTTAAAAAAAAATGCAATACTTTATGTTTTTATCAGAAATTTTTACAAGTTTCAGCTAAAACTTTTTCATTATTGAAGAAAAATCTATCAGGTACCATTTTATATTGATACTTGTTTACAGCAGTTTGCAATTATAACAGAATTTCTTGTAAATGGATCATTATTCTCTTTATTACACGAGCAAAAACGGTAAATTTTTAACATTACTGTGGATGACATATTTTTTAAAGTAAAATTCAAATGATCATCAGAATAATATTTTGTTTTTATTCTTTAATTAGAACTTATGGTGAATTTGTTTATGTTATTTAATATTCCGATTTGAAATTTAGAAATAATGGGCTTTGTAAGTGACTTTGTGGTTCATAGTTTGCATATATAAAGAAATTAGTTATTGTAGAGTTCTAGAAATGACCTTACGCCTTAATATTGGAATTGATGTTGCACGTGGTATGCAATACTTGCATGAACTTGCTCAAAGACCAGTGATTCATCGAGATTTGAATTCCCATAATATTCTTCTCCGTGATGATGGCCATGCTGTTGTAGCAGACTTTGGCGAATCACGGTTCATGGCTCAACATGATGATGAAAATATGACAAAACAGCCTGGTGTAATTCATGCAGAACATTTTTATACTTATTATACCGTGTAGTGTGTGGTAGAACATGAAATGAGTAAAGCTGCTCAATTTTTCGTTTTATGTTCACTCATCGAACATTGTCTTTGCTTTTAAAACAAATAAACTGGAAGCTCCGTAATTTTTATGGAGACTATTTCTAAATTATTTCGAGAATTCTGTTAAATATGTAGTTGTAGAATCTTCGATGGATGGCACCTGAAATCTTTACACAATGTGGACGTTATGATCGAAAAGCGGACGTATTTAGTTACGCATTGTGTATTTGGGAACTTCATGCTGCCGAGCTACCATTTGCTCATTTGAAACCTGCTGCTGCTGCTGCTGAAATGGCTTATAAACGAGGTTTTAGAAGTCATTCTTACAATATTTGTAATCAAAGAAACATTTTGAAATATGTCATCTCAAAATTACGCACTTTAGCCTTTTTTTTGTGACAAACAAACGACGAATGTTGAGAGTTGCATATCTTTCTCGACACCATTTTTTAATTATAATTAAAAATTATGTTTACTTTCTTTTCATAATTTTATTTCAGGTCGCCCACCCTTACCTCCACATCCAACTATCCAGTTTCCAGCTCATATTTTATACACCATAACATCAGCTTGGCATCACGATCCTAAATCTAGGCCTGATTTTGCTGATATTTTGCCAAATATTGAAAAATATGCTTCTCCAATTAAACCATTCAGCGGAGG